TGTTTTACTTTTTCCCTTTTTTTCATGTTTAATAATCTCCACCTATGTCCCATGCATACTCTGTTCTTTTAATCTTTTGCTACACATTACGATTTGTTTTATCTTTTGCAGGCAGATAGTGGCCAGAGCAAGAATGATCTCAAATCTTGATGCATGGTACATTCCTTATTATTATTGTTGTTGTTATTTAATTTTTCCCTAATTTATTTTTTATAATACTTTATGTGCTATTTTGAGTACTAAAGTAATTTAAAGGTTTTCAAGTTTTAAATTTGTTTTATTTAATTATCCTTATATAGGTTTTCCCATTTGTGTCATGTTTGATAATCTTTTACAGAAATTATATACATACTCACTTAGATGCATCTAAATATTTGTTAGTCACTGCGATTTGTTTCATCTTTTGTAGCTGAATCGTGGTTAGGGCAAGAATGATTTTTGGTAACTTCTTAACTTTTGCCACCTATTGAGACTCTCTATTAAGTTTACATGTTCAACAATATTTCTTCCTTGAATAACATTTTGATATTCAATTAATTAGTCTTTATATTACTATAAACTTAAAGGAGAGCCCTTTATCAAAAGAAACTATCGACGATGCTATTCTATGGTACTCTAGCTTATAATTTTATTTCAAAAAATATCAAACTTACGATTTATAGACAAAAATCAAAGGCAACAATTAATATAAATTTTAATTTGTGTTTATTTGGAATTCTGTTATATTTAAATTGCATTTTTGAAAAGATATCTAATGAACTAATATCGATAAAACCTTTATGTTTCTCACTTCCTCCCCTTTTCTCTCTTCCTCTTCTCAGGTCTCAATTAATTCAATCGACGACAATCACAAACTGTTAAACTAACATGCTTCAATCAATCTCCTATCAGGTATTAATTTTGTCTTTCACTCCTTTTTAAATTAGATTGAATATGAGAAAGAAGAATTGCTATCTTAATTGTTCTTAAATTGCTTTATTACTGGATTTCGATAGTTTTAATTTTTTTTCCCCACACAAGTAGAAGGAAAAGAAATGTTTATTGTTGATGTGGCGTTTGATGGCGGAGTCGGTGGTTGAGAAGTCAGATAATAAGATAAGGTTCTTTCAGATTGATTTACTTGATTTGGATATGGTTTGGTATTCATTCTAGCATCTTGCTGGATATGATAATGCTCGAGTAATAAATATTATTGATTATGGTAGCAGAAGTTATTTCTCTAGAAGAGAGTTGACAATTATTATGTCTTAATTTTAATGTCTATATGGAAGATTTATTTTTGTAATTTGGTGATTTGAGAATTTAAAATTGTTGACCTCTTTGTTTTGATGATGTTTAACAAACAATTTACTACTAATGTTGTTTGTCTAGTGTTTGTGGTTTTCTATTTATTATAGACAAACAACGCGTTGAAGGATGGATGGAATTACGCATTCACGATCATATTCAATAGAGGTTGGAGGAATTGTGGAGTGAAGCCTACGCAATTCAAAGTTAAAGGTTTAAGTTCAAGCTTCATCCGCAAGTGTACCAAGATAGAGCTTCGTTGAAGATCACAAGCTTGGGTAATTTAGTTTAGGAGTTTATATTATGTGTGTTAAGTACTTTAAGCTTAATATCATATACACACATATTTTATTGGTTTCTATGTATATATATATAGTTATATATATATGAATACATTTTGGATTTTGGTTTATCCACAAACAAAGTTTTTACAAGTATATAAATAAATATTTATATTCATACATGTTTGTTTTTATGTGGATAAGTTGCTTTGGTTTAATTTCATAGATATGAAACAAAAATATATTCATATAGATACTCATATGTTTCATATTCTATTGTATTTGTGAAAATTCTGTATTCATTGTTTATAAACTTCATAACAATAGTTTATATCTTTCTTTAAGTCTACAAAATTATTTTGTAATGTTTCAAAACATGGTTAAGCTAAAATGTTAAAACTCATATGTTTACATTTTCATGTTTTGGACTATTTTACAAAATGATGATATTTTTTATTTGGGAGGTCCTTTCTAAAAACCAGTTTTTGTAGCATGTGTATTATCATGTCTACAATCATTTTCCAAAATTTTATATTTTTCTAAATTTATTTGATATTTTAAACAGGATTTTAAAATTAGAAAACTGTTTTCAAACCTGGAATTTCATATATCAGTTTGCGGTCGACCGTGGCGGTCGACCGTGGCGGTCGACCGCCTTGAGTCAAGTAACTCAGAATGATTTTTTATGGCTCGCGGTCGACCGTGATGATCGACCGTATGCAGTCCAGAGAATTTCGCGGTCGACCGTCACGGCCGACCGTATGTGTTTCTAAAGCCCAGTTTTGTTGTTTTGTTGTTTTGTTGCTCGCGGTCGACTGCGAGTTTGCCACGGTCGACCACCGATTGCCCAACGACTATATTGGATACAGAATCAGATTTCAGATTCTTGGGGGTTTTTGGTCTTTTGTTTAGGGTTTTTGCTGTTGGTTTCTTTTCCTATATAAACCTCTCAAACCCCTTCTACCAGCAACAATCAAAAAAATATTTTAACAAAGTTTTAATAATGGTTTGTTGTTTAAGTTTGTTTAAGAAGCTTTTAAGCATTTAAGAGTTTGGGTTTGTGAAATCAATTTCACAAGAGCTTGAGAAGATCGTCTATTGGTGTTTGAGCATCCAACTACTCTCCATCGATCTCTTGATCTATTGAGAATTTTTCTAAACTCCTTTTCTAGCTTTATATCTATTTGTTTGATTATCATTTTATTAAAGCTAGTTTTATATTGAGTTTAGATTTATTTATCTCTTTACTTACACACACAACCATTGAGCTTATTGTATTTGCATACATTGTATAATTAGGTTGTGGAGAGTTGTAACAATTGAGAATGAGCTTCATTGTATTCTCATCCATGTTTGAGAACAATCATTTGTTATATTATGAGATTGTAAAGTTTTCGGTGAGCTAGAAAACCGAGTGTGAGGTGTAGACGTTGATCGGTGACCGTTAAAAACCGTCATTATGAGAGTGTGAATTGTGAAGTTTTCGGTAAACTAGAAAACCGAGTGTGAGTTGTTAACGTTGATCGGTGAGCGTTGAAAACCGATATTGTGAGGTGTCAACGTTATTCGGGTAAGCGTAGAAAACCCGATTGTGATAGTAAATTTCTCCCCGGAAGTGGGGAGCAGAGACGTAGGACGGAAGGTCTGAACTCCGTAATCATATCATGTGTTTGAGTTTGCTTTGATATTTCTTGTCGTCATTGTCCATTGCTCTTTATTTATATCATCCACTATCTTGTTTATTTTGTTTACCCTTGTGTATATCACTTATCCTAGCTCACATATCTTGTTGTATTTTATAATTGCTAGAATAACTTGTTAATTAGTTTTAAATGGTATAAAATCGGATTAGATTAGCATAAGGCCCTAATCATCTCCCTCTAGGGTCTAACAGAAATTGTTGTTTCCCTTCAATGTGTAGCTTTAGATTTATTCAATTCTTTGAACGTATTTTTAGTACTACAACTTTAACATTTAGATAATAAATTTATCTTTTATTTCTTTTGATTTCAATATGAACATAATTTCATAATTATATAAGCAATTAATTCAACAAAAATTTCCTTTCATCGATCCCCGTTAAATTAAACCTTAACTGGATTTCGATGAAAGGATTCAAATGATGTTGATGGGAGAAAAGTACTTTAGGAAGGAAATTAACATGAAATCTACTCATCAATGTTGTGGAAAAGGGTGCTTTGTGTTGTTCTTTAGTATGTTTTGATTGTAAACTTTATGGTGATTGTTATACGTTTCTAATTTAGTAATCTGATGCATGCTTACGGGTTCAATTTTAGTTTTCTTATCTTTTATAACCCTTAGGACTGCAGAAGTTTATCTTATCTATAATTTATTATTATGTTAGTGACAGATATATATCATATTTATAATTGTTCACTTTTATTTAATTTATCACATCTTATATATATATAAAAGGTGTGATAAATTAAATAAAAGTAGACAATTATAAATATGATATATATCCATATAGGGAAATATGATTCTAATGAGCCACCTTAGATTGAATCTAAGCATCTAAATGTATGGATTCAGGCTATTTCAATGGACGATCCGCTCCATTCATCATGATCTAAATGTCTTAAAACATCTACAAAATAAAAATCATGATGTTTGAATATTTCTAACGCATATTTTTCATTGTCTCTTTGGTTGTGTTGTCATAAAGCTGTTAAGTTTACTATCACGTGACGCATTAGTAAATACAATCTAATATGCCTAATTTTTTGTTTATATGCCATCCGAATTATATGGATCAAAATGAATGGAGTGGATCAAGAAAATTAATTGTGAATAATTTAATTTTGAAGGTGCATCCTTAGATTCAATCTAAGGTGGCTCCTTCCAATCATATTTCCCATATATATATATCACATGGAAAGAAAGCATGCTTGATTTTTAAATTTATGTTATTTCTAAATGTTGATTATTTCATTTGATTATGCATGTTAATTATATTCCACTTACAATACATATAAATTTATTTTGATTGCAGAAAAAATAAATATATTAAAGTTTGGTGAATTGATACAACTATCACTGACCATGGAACACCAGCAATATTGGGATGACCCAGTAGGTCACATGGCAAAACCGTGTCGCTCCCTCGTGGAAGCCCGGGTTCGATTCCCGTGTGCGTCAAAGGCGAGATAAAAAAAGAAACACCAGCAAAAACATAATGAAATAAAAACTTAATTCAACAAATTTTGTGGAAAGGAGGTACGTGACAATGGAAATTGATGTGATTTCAGTTGATAAATAATTGACCAAGGACCCTGGACAAAAATTCTAGTATAGCAAAACACCAAAATAATTATTGTTTCACCAAAATATCAGCTCATTTAGAGAACCAATGGAACTAAAAAAACTGAATTAAACTGAATTTCCTATAATATGAAGGGAAAAATCAATTACCTCTTTACTCTCAGAAATCCCCGAAACCGAATTGATAAACGCAGCCCCGTACCCCGTTGACGGTTCAATCCATAAAATATCAAGAGCGAACAGAACCGCTCCCAAAATCCCCACAAAATAAATCCAAGACGAGATCTTTTGCTCCCCCAATTCAAACTTGGCCGAATCCTCACCAGTTAAACTCTCACCAGAGATTCCATCCTCAGTATCTGTCTTCCCGATCGAAGTTCCGTCGGCGTGAGGAATTCTACAGTAAAATTTTAGGAGTCGCAAAGAATTGCTAGGGTTTTTGAATAGATTAGGGGACGAGAGGGATGACGGAACCCTAACGGAGAGTGAACGGACGTTGTTACGGCCGTTAGAGGGGAGGAGGAGAGAAGAGGAGCTGGAGATGAGAAGCGAGGTTGCCATAGATGATGAATGGAGGCTCAACCAGATGAGAGAAGCATTAAAAGGGGATATTTAGTCAAGTGACCTTTAATTAACCTACCCACGTGGCAAGATACGGCAATATTTGACACTGTTTAGCGATGGATCTGTTGAGGGTTAAATTGGGGTCATATTTTATTGGGTCTAGAAAGCGGTTGATGGAATCTATAGTGGGGTGATGCTTTGGAGGGAGGTTTTGGATTGTCGCGGGCGGCGTGATGGAGTGCCTTATATTTATTTAGTGGACAAATTTTCGAAACACTCCTATTTGGACTTTTATTTGCAACAAACGACCGGTTTCTTAGTTAATAAAAAAACTGACCTGGTTTCAGCCATGTTGCTAAAATCAGATCGGTTTCTGAAAAAAAATTTACAAAACTTCATGGGAGTTTAACTCCCGTGAAGTTTAGCATATTTTTAAACTTCACGGGAGTTGAACTCCCGTGAAGTTTAATTTCTTCAAAAATCTTCACGGGAGTTCAACTCCCGTGAAGATCAACAGACTTCACGGGAGTTCAACTCCCGTGAAGTCTGTTACAGGATTAAAACTCCACGGGAGTTCAACTCCCGTGGAGTTACAGGCCAAATTTCCCAGAGAATCGCTCTCTGGGAAATTTAGACTGCAACTTCACGGGAGTTCAACTCCCGTGAAGCTGTTAGGCTGCTGTGATGTGCATGTTTTGTATACATCTACCTATTTAACTCATATATATATAACTATTTACCTATTAACAATAATTACTACAATATATATATGATTTAAACACGCACGAATCAAACAATACTCAAAAAGATCACATATCGAGCTATAATTGATCCACAAAAGTATAGTATTTAAAAATTCATACAAGTTACAAATTTTAACAAAATAAGTTTAAATACAACCCAATATAGCTCCTCTCCTTCCTCTCCCTCTCTTCCCCCTCCCCCTCGCTCTTCCCTGCCCCCCGTGCTGATGAGCCTCGACTATCTGAGTATCCGGTTGTGTATGAGGCTGAGAAGTGCCAGCTCCATCAGCATGTGAAGTGCCGGCTAGCCGTCGGCGCCGAGCGTACGCCTGCCCAAATGATCAAGACATGTCCTCACGACCTCCGAACTCGTCGACGTGAGTCTTATGAAACACATTTGCTACGGTCTTCTTGATTCTGTTGAGGAGTCCTAATGCCACCTGATCCTGAATCTCAGGCACGTGCGCATCAATATCAGCCTCAATGCTATCAAAAGCACGGACCTGTGAAGTAAACAATTTATTAAGTACCAACTCAATAAAAAATTATTATAATTTAGCTTAGAAACTTACGTAATCTCTCTCGTTCACCCCACTAAGGATGTAACTGTCTGTCGGTGGGTGTGGCATGTGTCCAGCTGATGGCTGTGGGTCACGCGTGATCCATCTACGTGTGATACCCTAATACCAACGCATATACGCGATATAGTCAACAACTGTGGGCCTCGTATCCTAGATGAAATCCCACCTGTGAGCCCACCTATTTATGTAGGCCTCACGGACTACGGCCCAGTCGGTATGATGCGAAGTAGGTCGCCGTCGACGATCGATCTGCTCGACAGGATCTGGCACATGCTGAGAGAGCATAAACTGTCGTAGCACACGGTCAGAGACATGCATCTCCACGATCTCCCAATAAATCAATGGAACTCGGACTCTCCACAAGTCGGGAGTATCTCGGTAGATGGATGCAAGAGAATGCATATCGAGCTCCGACGGTGTATAGGGTCTCCACTTGAACTGAAATAAAATAAAACATATATCGAGCTCCGACGGTGTATAGGGTCTCCACTTGAACTGAAATAAAATAAAACATTTATCAGTATCAACAACAAAACTATAATATTCATAACGACTTGAGATTTATATTTACCTGTTAGTGTTGGAGGCCATCAAGCTCATTACGGTAAAACTCATGAAGGCACGTCACTGATTGGTACTTAGCGTACCGCACGTTATACCTATATGCATAATAGAGAATATATAAGTACAAATTCAGTACGAATAAAATTTGTGTGTACAATTATACCTGTACGCCAAAGAAAACTGCCCCTGTAGGTCACGGTGCACAAGTAAAGTAGGGTGTCCAATAAGAATGCGCTCTCATGACCAAATCTGTATCAATGTGCAGCATCCCTTGAATTCTTTATTCTGCATCAGGGATACTCTACCCAGTTCTCAATACAAGTATGCCAACACCGCACTGCCCCACAATAGTGCGCCGCATATGTCAAAATCCTCCAGCAACGACAGCCATCGTGCATGTACAAGAGTCTTGCTCGCATCAGGAAAAAGCATGCACCCTATCATGTGCAATATGTACACACGAGCATGAAACTGAAGCATCTCCATACCTGGCCAAGAAGCCTAGCACATGCCTCCGGCCAACTATGATCATCGATGCCCGTAACTGCCGGCCCATCGATCCGAAGCCCAAGTATGACGGTCACGTCCTGTAAGGTGATGGTGCACTCCCCCTATATGCATGTGAAAGGTGTTGGTCTCTGGCCTCCACCTCTCAATCAGTGCAGTGATAAGCGGCCAATCAAGCCTAATATATCGAACCGTCGAACACTCCCAAAAACCGGCCTGAGAGATCAGCTCTAGAACTCTCGCATCCTTAATGACCCAAGCCAAATGACTCTGGGAATGCTCGATCATGGTGATGTCTGGTACGGGCTGCACGTCAAAAAGAATTGATTAAGTATAATGCGAAAAATTAAAATTAGTGCAAATGCTAAGGAATATATACAAAAGATGTTTTATCTGTCCTGAGCTAATATGGTCTGAAACGTGGCTCACCTGGAGGGTCAAAACGTCAGGGTGTATCGGTCCCGGATCCATAATGAATATAACTGAGAATAATATTAGAAAATAATGTACAATGTGTTAGATCTTTCTGTTGAAATACTGACCTAATTATATATTATAATGACCGTAAATTTTTAATACTGGTTTAAATACTTTTCTGGTATTTAAACATTAAATATTATTTTTCTAATAGAGTATTTGTATTTTCTCCAATTTCTCTAGAATTTTCTACGATTTAAAAATACGGTATTATATTATTTTAATGGTTTTGCTAATTATAAATTTAATTGTTTCAGTAAAACTTTTTGAATTAATAGTTAATTATTCATTATTGTTATTGTTATTATTATTTTGACCATAAATTTTTAATATTTATTTGAATAAATTTTTTGATATTTTAATTACTATTTTTTAGGGGTATTTCCCTCTCATCTGTAAATCACTCTGTCTCTCTCTCTCTTCATCTCTCTCTCCCCTACCTCACTTCCCCTAAAACCCTCCCCAATTCACGCAACTCCCCACCTTGTGCTTCCTCCACTCCCCCTCAAAGATCCCCACGCTCAGATCTCTCTCTCTCTCTCTCTCTCTCTCTCTCTCTCTCTCTCTCTCTCTCTCTCTCTCTCTCTCTCTCTCTCTCCTCTCTCTCTTCTCTCTCTCTCTCTCTCCTCTCTCTCCTCTCTTTCTCTCTCTCTTCAACTCTTCTCTCTCTCAATTTATTTCTCTCAGCTCACCAATCTCTCTCACTCTCAATCTCTGTCTCTCATCACACGATCACTCTCTTTCATCTCTCTCCATCTCTCTTTTTTCTCTCCCTTCTGCATCAGCTCTCCCTTCTCTCTTCTTTCTTCTCCTCTCGCATCAGCCTCTGCCCTCTCTCTCTCTTCCTTTCATCTCACTCGCCGAGCTCCGCGTTCGCCCTTCAACGCGCAGCTCGCCTCTCCGTCCCCATCTCTCGTCAGCTCGCCCGCCCTCAGCCCAGCCGCGTGCCACGCCCGGTTCCGCCTCAAACCTCCTCCCGCACCACTTACACCGCTCCCATCTTGTCGCGCCACCTGCGCGGTGCCTGAAGACTCCCACTGCCGCTAGCCTCCGCCTCGTGCCCTCCGTCATCAACCAGCCCTCCTCACGTCCCGTCCCCCTCTCCATCTCTGATGCCAAAACCCTAATCTCAGGCTCCTCTCTTCTCATCTTGTCGGCACGACCCCGCCTCTAACCCGCTCTCCGACCACCGCTCCCCCACCACCGTAGCCATACACCTCCGCGTCTCACAAAGCTTAGTGACCCAGCAGCTCCAGACCAACCTCCCCCGCAAACCGAACAGTGCCCCACCTTCTCCAGCTCTCTGCCCGCTTGCAGCCGCGACCCCACCTCGGGCTTGCGTGTCCGTCAACCCAACCCCGTCGGCCCAAACCCCTTGCAGCAGCCCTCTCGGACCGCCTCTAGCGTGCGGCTCGAGCCTCAACCATATCCGCAGCCTCCCTCGGCCGCTCCTCCCGACGACGCCCCAACTATTATGTCTGGGATGATGTTTTAGTTGTGATATGTATATTTTCTGTTCTGAGTTGTTTACTATATTCTCACTACTCTGATCGGGGACATGTGCCTTCGCTTTATATTGCTTGACGCTTAGCGTATTAGATTGAGCAGAAGGGGTCTAGTACTTATTTCTCCTCAGTCTAATACGTCGTGGGCTTGTTCACGTTCCGATTCCCTGGTATTTTAGGAAGCGGGGCGTGACAGGTTTTAGTGGTGGCCCATGCAGGTCACAGTCCCGAGTTCCTACCAGTGAGCATATAATGGACAATTTAAATACATATCATGATTTCATCCGTGAGACTATTCTTGAGCCCTTATCTCATTTTCTTGATAGATTTTGTTTCGCCCCTATCTTATCACTCTTTGACCCCGGGGCTTCCCATTGTTCTTATCTCATCGTTTCGCGACTACGCCCTCTTCCTATAATTCATCTTTCCTCGTATTGGTCATTATTATATGTGTTATTATTTTTTTAATTATATTTTCTTTGATTTGACTTGAGTATCGTTTGATTGTATTGAATTCTGTAATATTTATTATATTATTTTATGTATCAAATACAGTATCATATTGTGTGTTTTCATTATTTATAAATCTATTTTATCCTCCATAGTTCATGTTTTATGTATTATACATTTTATTTATGTATATTACGTTGATTGTATTTATGTGATTTTTGACTATTACACAATATACTACTATGTCTAAATTGATTTTATATAGTGATGATTATTATTGTTGTACCTTGTTTATATTTATGAATATTACTAATACTTCTAATTTATCATATTGTTTATCGAATATATAATTATGATCTTCTTATTA